TGGTCATTATCTATGATTAATTAATTGTGAACATGTCACTGTCGTTTATGATCGATTTAATCTCAATTCTTGTGTTAATCTTGGAGAGTAATTATACGTTCATATTGTTCAAAGTAAAGTCTTATAGTGTTATAAAAACCTCGGAGAATTCCAATAAGATAGCTTTAATTATTTCTAAGATACGAAGGTTCAAAGTTTAATCTAACAATTGGACAATTTTGCTGTTACACAATTTGGACAATTTTGCTAATTACAAACTGTATACCCTATCTAACAAAGTTATTGTGGGACCAAAATACCATTGTTGGATAGAAAATGTTTTCAGCTACAAAACATTATTTTTCGACATAGTCACTATCATTGACTTGCCATGAAGAAAGACTGCATAATAAAAGGCGATATATTTTTCAAAGTAGCTATGACTTAGTCTGTGTTTCGAAATATTGTCCGTATAACAAATCTTCCTGCGGTTTGAAAATCGAAGGTCGCCAAAATCCGCATAACAAGGTGTGTGTGGCAAACAACATTTACAATGTCATCCGGAGTCTTCACGCTGGTGTTGCCTTCTGTGGATTGAATATGGAAATTCGTGCCTTCAGCTTAGTCAACCTCATAATGGAACGGTCACCCTCCATGGTTTAACCGCGTTCAAGAAAAAATATAGTATACATTACTTTTTATTTGGAACTTGTTTGCTACCACCTCATGGACTGTTTTTGTCCGGATCGTAGCAGTGATACCTCATGCCATCACCCGTGATGGTACTGACGTGTTTTGTATGCATGTGGGTGCGTCCTGTTGTGCATAAATTTATCAGTTAATGTATATTTTCACTGAAATAAAATGTATTATTACTCGTAGTAGAAATAAAATAACAGATTATCTCTCATTATTAATACGCGAATTAAACGGCTTCATTGAAGCTGATCCAGTAGATAAATGTCAATAATCAAATTCAAATGATTAATATCCGTCAATGTGCACCGAGAAAGGCAAATAATTACGCCTGCACACAGCTCGAGTTAAAATGGCAGGAAAATTCGAGAAGATCACGATTGTCAGTCGTGTTACATTATAAGTAGGATTTCTGAGTGAAACATCTTGTTACAAAAACAAAACAAAAAATTAAATAAAAGATATGGATAACCTTTAAAATAACACATATCATTAAGAAATAATTGAAGAGATATATACGTACATACACACACACACACACACACGTGTGTGTATGTGTGTGCATTGCACCAGTGGCCTGACGCTATAATGCTTGCATTTAACTGTCGCAATCCAGTGTTAATATCTATGTCTACACTGATGGCATACGCTCTTTTTGAGATTGAACACTTTTCTTCCCTAAATAAACCATACCTTAAAAACAAAATTCTCTCTCTCTCTCTCTCTCTCTCTCTCTCTCTCTCTCATCTATCTATCTATCTATATATATATATATATATATAATATAATTATAATTATTTTTTTAAAAATATGATTCCATCGTTACATAAGAGCTCTCATGTTTCAAAAACAGAAGCTAAAAACTTCAATTCTATTTGAAATTGAAGTTTTTAGCTTCTGTTTTATAAACATGAGAACTCTTATGTAGCGATGGAATCATATTTTAAAAATATAATTATAATATAGGCTTTACTCTTGTATTGAGCACTGTTTTTTTTAAAATAAAAGCTAAAATACTAAAGAACTTTGGATTATTAACCTAATGGTTTTTCCTATTTTTATATACTTACGCACACACGCACACACACATATATATATGTATACAGTGAGAAAGAGAGAGAGAGAGAGAGCGAGAGAGAGGTTATACATAGGAATTAACACTCTCTCTCTCTCTCTATATATATATATATATATATATACTATGAAATGAACTAAACTAGGCAATTATTTTAATATATTTTCTGTTTTAATGTTATTTTTATAGATAGAATTATTTAAGTAAATATTCTGTTTATCATAAACAATATTAATTACATTTACCGAGAAATTTCGTAGAAAATATGTATCCTCAGATCAAATGACGGCTGATCACTTGTCTAGCACTTGCCCAGCTGGGACCTTTTCCAGTTCTGTTGGTCGAACGCTCTGGCTTTGGACAGAGAGGAACCAGAACGAGGCTGTGCCGAAGGGCAGAGTCTTGTCCGGGGAGGTAGACAGACCCGATCCCGTTTATGTGGGGTCTACGGGGATTTTTTGGCCGAGCCTCCGGGCTCGGGAACCACACATTAAATTCGGCCTTGTGCCACATGTGACTCGTGGGTCAGTTGCCAGATACCGTCTAGGACACAGTTTATATTCCTGTCGGAGGACACATATTTTCTACGAAAATTCTCGGACATTCAGGCCGCTATATGTAATTAATACTGCTATTATAAACAGAGTACTTATTTAAAACATTTTATGCATAAAAACGTCTAAATATATATATATATATATATATATATATATATATATATATATATATATATATATATATATACGTGTGTATGTCAAATATTAACCGCACTTTCGCCATAACATATCTTTAGGTTCGTCACGTTGACTTCTACTCACGAGTGCTCATATTTGGTACTATTGTGTTCACCTGATCGACGTTAGAGCTTGATCGCTTTATAAAAGGAAAATTACCTTACTTGAAAAATACACTAATTTATAGTTTACTGTAAACAGTCTCTCAAAAAAACTCTTTTAACTAAATGATGATTTTCTAAGCGTAGCTTAGATATGGCACAAGGCCGAAAGTATAGGGTATCTAGTAAGGATTGATCTCAATACTCAGTCGTAATTGAACTTACGAGACATGTCGAAGCGCCCCTACTTAAACCGAATGCTTAAGCTTTATGTATTTAATACTTGTAAAACATTTTGTTTAGTCTTTGTTTTATTTTCTAATAAACGCACATCGTCAGCAATTATTCTGCAGTAAGCTGCCAAAAATTTCTTTTCTTTTGACAAATGTTCACCTGATAAAAGACCCAAGAGCTAGTCAAATTAGAGAGTTACCGAATGAAGTTGTTGCATGAACGTAAGTCTGGGTGTAGGTAAGAAATACCATCTATGAGGATTGGAAAGAAGATAACGGTTAACTCTAGATTTGAAGAGGATTCTAGAAGAGAAAACAGTTAACCCTAGATTTGAAGAGGATTCTAGAAGAGAAAACAGTTAACCCTAGATTTGAAGAGGATTCTAGAAGAGAAAACAGTTAACCCTAGATTTGAAGAGGATTCTAGAAGAGAAAACAGTTAACCCTAGATTTGAAGAGGATTCTAGAAGAGAAAACAGTTAACCCTAGATTTGAAGAGGATTCTAGAAGAGAAAACAGTTAACCCTAGATTTGAAGAGGATTCTAGAAGAGAAAACAGTTAACCCTAGATTTGAAGAGGATTCTAGAAGAGAAAACAGTTAACCCTAGATTTGAAAACGATTGCAGAAAAGATAGCGGTTAACTTTAAATTTCAACAGGATTTTAGGAAAGACAGCAGTTAACCCTAAATTTGGAGAGGAATGTAGAAAAGATAATCATAGTTAATCCTAGATTTGAAGACGATTGTAGAAAAGACAGCTGCTAACCCGAGATTTGAAGAGGATTATAGGAAAGATAATAGTTAATCCTACATTAGAAGAGAATTGTTGAAAAATAACGGTTAATTCTAGATTTGAAGAGGATGGTAGTGGATAAAACTGTTAACCCTTGATTTGAAGAATATAGAAAGGATAAGGGTTAATCCTAGATTTGAAGAGGATTGTACAAAAAGAATGTAGGAAAGTGTTCTGGTAGGATCCACCTAATTTTCATAGTGGAGTACCGACCATATAAATATGGTTGGTACCGGGAAGAGAGAGACTCAATCCAGAGACTCTGCCCGACTGCGACTAAGTCAACACATTCTCCAGGAACGGTCTTACCAGGAATATACAAAAGACTATATGTAAATATTGTGTACACTTTCTTGTTTCAATACATTTTGTTCTAAGTACATTTTGTTCTAAGTACATTTTGTGTTGCATTATTATTCCATGCATTAGTCAAGTTTCAACCGAAAGGTAACGGTTAATCCTAGATTTGAAGAGGATTGTACAGAAGATAACGATTAGCCCGAGATTTGGAGAGCATTGTAGAAAAGATAACGCTTAACTCTAGATTAGAGGAAGGTTATAGGGAAAATAACGGTTAACCATAGATTGGAAGAGGATTGTAGAAAAATAACGGTTAACATTAGATTTGATGAGGATTTTAGAAATGATTACGGTTAACCTAGATTTGAAGAGGATTCTAGAAACAACACTTATCCTTAGATTTGAAGAGGATTGTAGAAAAGATTACTGTTATTTATCTATTTCATATTGTTTCTACCTGTCGATATCATTGTGGTCATGTATATCTATCTATCTATCTATCTATCTATCTAGCTAGCTAGCTAGCTAGCTAGCTTGAATTTTGTAATTGCTCTGTTTGGTGTCATTGCAATTTCTAATTATGATAATAATAATTTTAGTCACCAGCTCAGTACATTTGGTCTATTTTTCTCGTTGGTGATGAATAACATAATTTTTATTTTTTGATGGTGGAAGAGAAAAAAAAATCAGTCATTTCAATATTGCTGGTTATGTCATTTCGAATGCCCAGAGGACAGATAAACAGATATATCAGCTATCACCAATTTACGAAGCACACAAACTCGGCCACTGCTATCGAATTATTAGTTAGTCATTGTAATAAATTATGATTAAGGCAGAATTGAAATTTATCTTGATTACTGATCCTCAAAGGGAGATAAATCGAGGGGATGTTTTGCGGGCAGGCAAAACGGGACCATTTCGGTGATCAATCATTTAACAGTTAATTGAAATAAAAACAGGTAAAAATGTTGCTTTCAAGATCATATAAAGCCACTTTATTGGACGTTTTAAAAAGGCATAACTGCTCAGGGAATATTTCAATCAACTATTTTGCCTTTCCGGGTCTATCTCATTTTCGTTCTTCGATGCTTTTCTCTTCATCAAACATTCTTTCTTTCTTTCTTTCTTTCTATGTCCGTTCCTACCTGTCGATATCATTTATCCATATCTATCTATCTATCTATCTATCTATCTATCTATCTCAACCTGCCCATATCTATCTATCTATCTCAACCTGCCCATATTCATTCATCTATCTATCTATCTATCTATCTATCTATCTATCTATCTATCTATCTATCTCAACCTGCCCATATCTATCTATCTATCTATCTATCTATCTATCTATCTATCTATCTATCTATCTGTGTAAATCTCTTCCTATCATTCAACGAGAATGTGCACAGAAATGTGCGCATTTGTAATATCACCCACCTATAAAACACTAAAATTATGTATGTTAAAATTCAGAATATAAAGGACATTTTTTCTATCTCTCACACACACACAGAGACACACAGACACACACGCCCATATATATATATATATATATATATATATATATATATATATATATATATATATATATATATATATATTGTGTGTGTATTTAGGCAGCAATTTTTCATTGATGCATGTTTCATTAAATACACAATTCCGGAAATCCGGGTTGAAAACACAACTATACTTAAACATGAAAACAATAAACAAAAACTAAAAATTCTTGAAGCTATATACATAAAACAGCTGAAACATAACCTGAACAAAACCTATGAAATCTCCACAAATATTCTTAAATGCCTATAATTGATAACAGAATCCATTGGTTTATACTAACGGCTTCCCATACTTAACACTTCTCGTTTTCACTCTCGCGTGGTCATGCGTGACATCACTAGCTGGGATGCGATTTTCGCTTCCGCGTCTCGTATACACGAGTTTGTCGTTACTTTGGAATTTTTCATGCAACAAAAACAGACTATCATTAATGTTTCGTCCGTGTGTTGTTTGATATATTGAAATATAATTGTCATCTTTGATAATGGCTTAAGTAAGCCGAAAGCTTAGATGGGATTAAAACATGTATCAATATGGTGATTTCCTTTCGTCTTTCAATGATAATGTTATTAAGCTTATCAGACAATTTGAAAGGAACTTACTTAAAATAGAAAAACTTGTCTATATTATTTAATGAAACATGCATCAATATATATATATATATATATATATATATATATATATATATATATATATATATATATATATATATATATATATATATATGTCCGAATGTAATGAGAAAGAAAATAATATATAAATTCTAACGTTCGCAGCATTAATTCAAAAGATGGTAGAGTAATAATTATTTATTATAATTTTTTCATATAGAAAAACAATTTACTCACTGCAAAGATGCAACTTCGTTTTGGTGCATTAAGTTTCACCTTCTTCAGGCAAAGAGTGTATATTTCCAAATATTATTAAAATGAATTAAATATTTCTTCTGTTTTTTAACAATAAATAGTGTTTGTCACTAGTTAAAAATTAATGAAGACATTACTGGCAGAATAGAGGTATTATATCGTTCATGTAAATTCGCTGTCATTGATTTACTAAAGAAATGTGTTTTAGTATAAAAATACACTGCAAGTGATTTTACAATATAAATGCATAACCCCAAATATTTTACCTGAAGTGTGGCATATGGATATGAAAAAATGTTTTTACTGACAGAATAATGATGGTTTATATCTTTAACCCCATATGTTTTATTAAATTTTCATCCAATACAAAGCTCGTGAGCCACTCAAGGTAGAGATTTATTGAATAAGATCTTTGTGTGACACAAGAGGAGGAAGTAAGTGCAGATCATGCGGATATATAGGATATATCACGATTGACCACAGATCTTAAGCCCTTAAAATTGTAGTGATCGGGAAATGTCATCTTGAGATTCTGTCCCAGTTGGAAGACACTATTTGAGTGGAACTACCTTCATACCAATGGAATACGAAAGAAATGAAGTGTGGTATGGCGGGTGCTAGCTGTAAATTATATAATGATTATGATGACGGTGAAAATAGACATTTTCATACAAGAAATATTTGACGTTCATTGAGCAAAGGGATGGCGTTATTGTTGGATGAAAAAAAAATCATTTTCTTTTGGAAAAAAAGACACCTCAAGTGGACTGTTATCCTTCTTTCTAGTCTTAATAAGAGTTTCTTTCTTAACCATTTGTTTAAAGTGATATGGAAAGTAAACATCTTTATCATATTATTATTTTCCTGTCTAATCACTTGTATTCTCCATTTTAGTTATTACTGCTATCTCAAATTATGTGGTTTGAAATGATTCGGTGCTTGAGTCATCACCAGACATATACGATTTCGTGGATCGATGCAGGTCATGGCATTCAGTGGTGTCAGAGTGTGGAAGATTTTTTTTTTTGTGAAGGATGAAAAAAAAAGGGAGTCTCTATTGATATAATCAAATTTTACTGAGAGATGAACATAGTATGTATACATTCTGTTCAATAAGTAAACGATTTTAGGGCGTTGTTTGTTAACATATATACCATCATTGCCCCCCACCTATTACAAGAACTAAAGCCAAAGTTGACTTTCATAAAATGGGGAAACTCTAAATTCAAACTTTTTTTCCGTCATCGCCGGCTATCACATAGAAAAACTGTCTACCGCCCAGCTATCTAGTAAACTAGCAACATGGCCCGGCGTTGCCCGTGCTTGATTCAAAAATCGTACGACTCATACAGCAATCGCTATCACTTGACTTAAAATATTTTTGCCCTTCCTTGCCTTTAAAGGAGTGCCCTTTGCCGTGCTGATGTTGCTACATGCCTTACTTCTTGCCTATCTTACACTGCGAATTTTTCTAAGCTCTATACTAAACATTAAATCTGTTACGAAAAAAAGAACTAAACAAAATGAACACAAAACGATCAGCTTTAAAAAAAAAAGGACTCGTAACTGGAAAAACCGAATGAAAAAAGAATGTTAACAACAAATACTTTTTCACACCCAACCCAGTTCTGCGGAATCAGAATCAACGTTGAGTTTAAGCAAGCGAATGAGCCAATTGGAGTAAAGTGCCATGCAGATTTAAATTTTTCCCACTTGTGACGAATGCAGCTATCGATTTTATCGCATGCTAGCTAACATTCGTGTCAGTCAGCTGTTGACTCTCACGCTGGCCAATAGAATCTTCCTGCCTATTCGTGGCAGTCAGCTATTGGCTCTCATTCTGGCCAGTAGAAAATGGACGCAAACTACATGAAAACTGCCGTAGAAGCATGAAATGTCGATTATTTCCACTATCGATGTGAGTTGGGAAATGCAAAGTCGGCCTTGGCCTTCCCACTAACTTGGAGCATGTGCATGTAAATTCTGGTGCAAATCCGTCGAAAATTGCGGCCGTGCATTCGTTACACACACACACACACACACACACACACACACACACACACACACACACACACACACACACACACACACACACACACACACACACACACATATCCTGCCTTTTATAGATAAATATTCAAAAGCATATCAAAATTGTTTGTTACTGGTTCATAAACTGACTTAATGATATAGTAAAAAAAATACCAAAAGGGAGTAAAAAATAACACTGACTCATGCGGTTGCTGCTGCTACTAATACTGTGTTAAAGAACAAACTAAAGCAAACTTGATTATTGAAAACTATATATATATATATATAATTTAGTTTTATGTTCAAGTTTAGTTTTATGTTTTGGGTTACCGCTGCAAGTATAGACAGAAAATGAAACAAGCTTTGTTCATAATTATAACATTAAAATGAATATACACTTCTAGTAACTAATAATTAAGTGAATATGTTTCTAGTTCTTAGTATTACTTTATTTGATTATATCCGAAAATATATTATTTTGTCTGAATCACTAATTGAATGTTAATGACCCTTCTCAAAACTATAGAAAATACCAAAATATTGGTTGTCTGAGGGAGTTATTTATATCTTATCTAGGAATGTGACTCACTTTTCGCATTTATTCCCCTTTGGTTTTTTGTTTTTTTTTATACAGGTGGTTTGCATATCTCATTTGAATATTCTTTGCGGTAGCATATACTGTGATAAATGTTTAATCCTCAAAATCCTATATCGCACATCGAAATTACCAATCCCGCCCTATTTTCTGTTCATTTGCTCATCACCTACCAAACAGATGAAATCGCTCATCAGGAAAATCGCCTAGGTGGGAAAACCTTCGTCTAGTGACTAAAATATTTATAACTACTTTCGGCATAATGGAATCACCCGAAATACATCCCTACTTGTGAAGATTTTCATGGTGATGTTATTGTTTGTACTGTGTATTAATGCGGGATATACAACACTTCTTTGAGATGTGTTTTTGATTCAAGGTATCTAAATAAATAAACGGCAAATTCTTCCAGTCCGCCCGTGTGTCTGAAACTCTACATAGACATATTATACTTTTTGGAATCAGGATGATCTCGGGATTGAAAATCTGCCCTTTATCTAGTGCTTGAACATTCAGTATTAGGATTTGTGTCCGGATGGGGAGGGAACAGTTAAAAATTCAAATTTTAAAATAACTGAAAAAAATTAGTAATTTAAAAAGTTTTTTAATTTATGCTCAGTTTAAAGTAATGCAGGAACTATGTGAGTTTAAAAATGTATGTTTTAAATTCAGTTTAAAATATCTCCCAATCTTTGTGAAGTGAGGAAATCAATTTTATTTCATCCGAATTCCAGGGAATCAGAGTTCAAGTGACAGGTTTCGTGACGTAAGGTTTTGAAGTTCTGCAGAGACTTAAAGTTCGACGGTGAATGTGATTTAAGAACTCGATTTTCGGCCTCAATTGGAATTTCAGTCGAAATCGGAGTTTCGGCTCAAATCTGTCTTTTGGCCGGAATTGGACTAACATCCTGAATCAGTGTTAAAGTGTGGTTTTGAAGTTCCCTGGAGGGAATTGACGCATCCAAAGTAATGTTTTCAACATTATCCTTGCTGTATTCTAAGATGGACCAGAGGTCACTTTAGTTTTGGGTCGGGG